ACAGGAGTCACTGTGCACTTACTCCTCATGTAGGATCTCTGTCCTTAATGTGCTGTACATTGAGATTTAATGCTATAACGAGTACTCAAACAGTATTTTTCACTTTATGTTTCTGTGTGGGAGCAAACTGTTGAAATCTTTACTTAATGTATGCTAAACTGATCTTCTGTACATAAAGAGAATCGAAAATGAATCTTGATGTGAATGGAAGGGGAGAGGGAGTGGGAAAGGGGAGGGTTGCGGGTGGGAGGGAAGTTATGGGGTGGGGGGGAAGGCATTGTAATCCATAAGCTGTACTTTGGAAATTTATATTCATTAAATAAAAGTTAAAAAAAAAAAGGCACCTCTTTTTTTTTTTTTTATTTATTTATTTATTTATTTATTTGAAACTCAGAGTTACTGAGAGACAGAGGCAAAGAGATGGCTGTAATGGCTGGAGCTGCACTGATCTGAAGCCGGGAGCCAGGAGCTTCTTCCCAGTCTCCCCTGTGGGTGCAGGGGCCCAAGCATCTGGGCCATCTTTTACTGCTTTCCCAGGCCATAGCAGAGTGCTGGATCGGAAGTGGAGCATCTGGGACTTGAACTAGTGCCCCTATGGGATGCCAGCACTGTGGGCTGTGGCTTTGCCTGCTATGCCACAGCTCCGGCCCCCAGGCACCTTCTTGCTGTGTCCTCAGATGGTGGAAAGAGAGATCAATTTCTCTCTTCCTCTTATAAGGCCACAGTCGTATCAGAGTCCCATCCACCCTTATGATCTTAATTACCTCCTAGACGCCTGGAGGTTAAAGATTCAACATGAGTTTCGGGGTGTGGGGAGCACAATTCAGTCCATAGCAGCTGTGTTCAGATAAAACTTATTTATAGGAACAGGAGGACTTGGTGTGTGGAGGGAATCAAATACTGGTAAGGGTGTAGACTAGGTGATTATCAGGCGAGGGATTCAAAACCCGGAGGCGGTGGGAGGGTCTACTGCACAGCTCATTGGATCAGGGCTCTTTGACTAGTGTTCCTCAGAATCGGTCATTTCATAAGTAGAAATAGCTCTATGTGCACCAAATTCATCTCTACTTTGGCCAGTGGGAGGCGCAAATCACGGGCCCGCTGTGGTCTGTGGTTGTAAGCCAGCTGTGTCAGTTAAAGTCTTGGCCAGCACACAAACCCATCTCTTCGTCTTCTGTCGTAAGGCCGTGACTACAAATTCCCTCCTCATTTGTAGGAAAAGGGTCTCTAAGATATTTCTCAATTCCTTCCCTTCAGAGAGAGAGAAGTAGAAGCCATTAAATAGGAACTCATCCAGGTCTTTCCATGAGTCATACAAGTTTAATGCATCTGCCTCAGTCAGATGCTCTTCTTCTGTTTTCTGCTGCCGCAAAGAGTGAGAACCTTGTGCTGACACTAACCCCCACCTCTCCAGCCAGTTGGGACCTCATCCCTGGTGTCTTCTGTGTAACCTAAAACAAAAGGATCTGATTTTCCACCCAGTGTTTGCCCACAGCCTGTCACAGCTCTGTCTTAATTAAAAATCAAACCAATGCACACACAAATCCAATGCAGGAGACATGAAACACACAATGTAAATTTACTAGGAGGTAAAGAAATGGGGTATAATGCACATAAAGGAAAACCCTTGAAGCTTCTGTCCCGTCCCAAACCCACACTAGAAGCCCCACTCTGACTGGTGGCTCCCTTGTCTTTCCATTGCCCTGTAACTGCACTTCAGCCTTGTTTCTTCTTTTCTTTTCTGACCACCTCTTTTCTTTTTTAATTTTTTTAAAAAAGATTTATTTAGGGGCCAGCGCTGCGGCACGTAGTGGGTAAAGCCACCACCTGCAGTGCTGGCATCTCATATGGGTGACAGTTCGAATCCCAGCTGCTCCATTTTTTTTTTTTGATTAATTATTTTTCCTCCAAAGAAACATTGTATTTAAGGAATACAAACTTCATTTCATAGGTATAATTTTAGGAATATAGTGATTCTTCCCACTGTACCTGCCCTTCCACCCACACTCCCATCCCTTCTCTTCCTCCCTTTCCCATTCCCAGTCCCATTCTCCACTAAGATCCATTTTCAATTCACTTTATACACAGAAGACCAACTCTATACTAAGTAAGGAGTTCAACAATTGCCTCTTCTTTACCTCTGCTGTATTCCTAGATTTTCCAAGTTGCATGTCTACTTGCTTTTGTACTGATGGATATTCCATATCTTTCTGCATATGCATCCTGCACTATTAAAGTGCTGGAGCTTCTAGCGATTTTTATAAAATTCAAATCTGGTTATGTTGGGCTTTGATGAAAAGTCTCCAGTGATGCCTCAGTGATCTTGGATGACATTGCCAAACTCCTCACTTGTCCTAAAAGGAAGCAGCATGGTGTGAACCCTGCTTACTACTTTTTTAAAAAAAATATTTATGTATTTGAAAGAGTTACAGAGAGGCAGAGAGAGAGACAGACCGACCAACCGACTGACCGACCCACGCACCCACCCACTGGTTCATGGGGCTGGGTCAGGCCAAAGTCAGGAAGCAGGAGTTCCAGCCAGGTCTCCTTTGTGAGTGGCAGAGACACAGTACTTGGATCCTTGTCTGCTGCCTCGTAGGTGCATTAGCAGGGAGCTAGTTTGGAAGCAGAGCAACCAGGACTGGAACCACTACTTCAGTATGGGATGCCAGTGTCCCAAGCGAGAAGCCTGCTGTGCCATAATGCCTGGCCCTGTTACATAGCTTTAAAATCCTCAGTATTTTCACTTTATTTTATGAAAAGAAATAAGTGCATATCATTCTTGGAAGATTTTTGTGTTATGTATTCCATTGTTTTCTATTTGTGCCCTATATATAAAGTCTTTATGTCTGATAGATATAATGTCTTTCATATATATACACACACATATACACACACATAAATAATTTTGATTATTTTTCAAAATGAAGGATTAAACTCTAAAGATTAAAACAAAATTCCCACTGAACTTCTTATGACAGCAAGTGGAACACCTACTAGCTTAGAAGTTACTTTGTTCCTATCAGTGAATTAAGAGGAATGCAGAGATAATGCTTAGATATTAGACATCTGTATATATTTTCTTTTCTCTTTATGCTTCAGATAACAGTGCCAAGGAGTGGAATCTTGAAATACAGTCTTCTTTTGATGTTGTCAGCTCAAAGCCAGTTGGTGGTCAAGTGATCGTAACCATCCCTAAATTGCATACGCAGCAAACACGTGATATTTACCTTCAACCTGGGGAAAGGATTGTCGATCTACTTGTGAAAATCAGCAAGGTAAATGATGGGACTTCCTGAGAAGTGCTGACGAAAAGCCATACCTGTACAAAAGCAATGCCTAGAAAGAGAAGATGAAAGAAATATTGTTTCCTTCTTTAGGTTTTCATTTTCTCCTATGTTTTAAAAAGTTTTATATATTTATTTTTTCATTTAATTTTGAGAGAGAGAGCTTTGATCTGATGGTTCACTTCCTAAACCACTGCAATAGCTGTCCAAGCACTTGGACCATCATCTACTACGTCCCAGGGTTCACATTAACAGGAAGCTGGATCAGAAGTAAGTGCAGGGATTTGAATCCTGGCACTCCGCTATGGGATACAAGTGTCCCCAGTGGCTGCTTCAACACCACAGCCCCTATTTTCCGCCCCTATTTTCTCCTTTTTTTTTTTTAACTTCTCATATATTTTGAGTATGAGCTAAGAAATTATTTTGCCAAATTTTGTTAAGAAATAGAGAATATATCATTAATTTAGCAATATTTCCTCGCAAGAAGTCAGATACATTTTAACATTTTTCTGTAGTATTTTCAATATTTTGAATCCAAAATACATTCTAAACAATATATTTAAATAGAAGTGGTGGTTTTGGGTACTTGCCAATTATTTTGAATATTGGTGCTTATTTTTGCAAAATTCTAATTCATCTTTCATAGGTAGAGGTAGGGTGGATTTTTTTCCTTTTTCCCTTTTCTGTTTCTCTAATTGATAATTATGAACTGAAAGGATGTAGCAAAACAGTATTTGGTAACTATCCAGATAAAGTAAGAACTCAAAATGGTTTCTAGTTCTCAGCTTAGAAAAAGATGCAATTTCAAAGTCCAATGCTAAGTGTTAAGAATATAGAATAATTGTAAAATTGAATGTTGGAGACAGGAAGAGTAGTTCCTTCCTTTTCAGTATTTTAATCCATGCTAAACTCCTAGCATGCTGATTTAACAATATTATGGATTGGTATGATTTGAGATAATATGGGCAGGGAGATTGTATTGTTTTAGAACCTAGAATTTCTGTGTTTGACTATATAAGAAATCGCTATAATGCTGAGTCATATTTTGTTAAATATGCTGCACTAAGAATGACTTATCTTATTTCTTTAAAGAATACTTCTGTAGAAACATGGTGGCCTCATGGACATGGAAACCAGACTGGGTACAATATGACAATTCGTTTTGAACTAGAAGGAGGTTTAACTATAGAAAAATCAGCTAGGGTAAGTAAATATTTTAATAAAATATTTTGTGAACAACAAGAAGTTGGTAAAGCTCTTTTAACCCTGTCAGTCCAAGATAACAGCATTCAAAAGCTTTTGTGTGTGTGTGTGTACTTATATTTTTAAATGGATCAGACTCTACATATTATTTTGCCAATAAGTAGTCTCATCTGGATTTTTTAATTATGTCAAGGTAATAAATGTGTACAGTTTTGAAGTTCAAATGTTACTGAAAGATTCATATGAAAAATAAGATCTCTTGCCCCAACCTTCCTATTTGTATTTCGTATTCTCAAAAACCAATAACATTTTTTATTATTTATTTCTTCTACCATTTATCTTCATTTCTCCAAATGATATGCTTCTACCAGTGTTTTCTAATTTTTCAGTCCTGCTCAGTTCATGGTACAATGCTAAAACTTGGGAAGAACTGCACTTTGTTTTTTATTAGCTGTTGGGTGCCTAGTGATTCAAGTCCCATTTCCTTCATATGTGAAATGGGGGCTACTAAGAGTGGGGGAGCCGGCGCCGTGGCTCAGTAGGCTAATCCTCCGCCTTGCGGTGCCGGCACACCAGGTTCTAGTCCCGGTCGGGGCGCTGGATTCTGTCCCGGTTGCCCCTCTTCCAGGCCAGCTCTCTGCTGTGGCCAGGGAGTGCAGTGGAGGATGGCCCAGGTGCTTGGGCCCTGCACCCCATGGGAGACCAGGAAAAGCACCTGGCTCCTGGCTTCTGCCATCAGATCAGCGCCGTGCGCCGGCCGCAGCGCGCCGGCCGCGGCGGCCATTGGAGGGTGAACCAACGGCAAAGGAAAACCTTTCTCTCTGTCTCTCTCTCACTGTCCACTCGGCCTGTCCAAAAAGAGTGGGGGAACTTCTTTGTTGTTATTTATGGTGAAATATAACACATAGGCTGAGAAACACACAGAAAGGAAGTGAAAAGCTTAATTATCAGAAAACACTCCTTTAACACTCATCCCCATCAAGAAACAGCACATCTGTAGCACCTCAGGAGTCCCTGCACCGGTGGGTCTTCCCAGAGACCCACTCTGCTGACAGCTGAGACTAGTTTGAATTTTATGTACATGGAACCACATAGTAAGTATTCATTTGTGTCTGTCCATCTTGATTCAATAATAGATTATACATTTGCATATGTTCTTGTGTGTAGTGTGGTTTCCGATTTACACTGCTCTGATATTTCATTGCATTATACATTCTGCTGTTTACATTTGGGTCATTTCCAGTTTTGGCTATTTAAAGTACTGCTGCTATGGACATTACTGATCTAAGACTTGGAGCACATATGCCTTTGACCGCATTTCTGCTGGGAGCGCAGTTGCTGGCTTATGAGACACGCACAGTTTCACTGTTTGTTGATCATGCTGGCCTGCTCTCCAAGGTGCTTGTCTCAGATTGGTCTTTGTTCCACATATTCCCACGCTCACCGACGCTTGCTGTGGTGTCAGACCGACCGGAGGCACTGCTTTCTCGTCACCAGGCCCTTGTCTCATTTCTACTGCTCTTGTCTTCTGATGGTTCTGTTGTTACCTTGAGCTTACTTCACACAAAAGGTTCCTATTTTTAAAATGTCATTTAAATCCATCTTGCCCCACTTTCCACTTTTTGTATCTTCCTTTCTTGCCTCTCTTCCACTGAGATTAGACGCCTGCATTCTTCTCTTTTTTGTTGACTGACAGTGTCCCAAGACAGCAGCACATTTGATTTAGACAACAGGCTTTGGGAAGGTACAGATCTGGGAAGCAGCCCACGCAGCCAAAATGTGTGGGTTCCTAAACAGAATGCAGGGACTATTGAGGGAGGATTTTGTTGGGCACACACAGACTATTTTGACGACTGAAATTTCTTTATGTGAGAAACAATGACTTTGAAGCACATCATTTCAGCATGAAGGGAGATAATTTCACAAAGCAGCAGATACTTCAATAATTAATAAATAAGACAGGGGAAGGTGTTGGGATATCATGACTTTTGCCAAACCATTACATGAGGGACTTTATTTTTTTTAAAAAAAGATTTATTTTATTTATTTGAAAGGCAGAGTTACAGAGAGGCAGAGGCAGAGGGAAAGAGAGGAGGAGAGAGGTTGTCCATCCACTGGTTCACTCCCCAAATGGCCACAGAGGTCAGAGCTGGGGCGGTCCACAGTCAGGAGCCAGGAGCTTCTTTCAGGTCTCCCACGTGGGTGCAGGGGCCCAAGGACTTGGGCCATCTCCTATTGCTTTCCCAGGCCATAGCAGAGAGCTGGATTGGGAGTGGAGCAGCTAGGACCCGAACCTGTGCCCATATGGGATGCCGGCACTGCAGGTGGTGGCTTTACCTGCTACACCACAGCACTGGCCCCCATGAGAGACTTTAGAATGTGACTCTTGGAAAATCAGCTTTATCAGATTTGAAAACCAGGTTGATTTTTTTTTTAACAAAAGAGAAATTTTTTGTGTAAAAGTTGTAACAAGAGAGGCTAAATGGAATAAAAAAAATTGCCCAATCTTTTGTTGCCATTTTCTGCTTAGTTAATTGCATATTTAATGTTACTAATTGATTGTATTGAGTTGAATAAATAATGACCAAATGGTTCATCTTTCTGAATAAAGTAGGAAATGTGGTAGTTGAATGTTTTTATTTACAGTAGCTTATTTTGCAAGAGTTTCTCAAGTGTTTCCTGTATAAGGCAAATCATTTTGCTAAAAAAAACCAAAAAAACAAAAAAAACAAAAACAGAAGGCAGTTACTATTTATATTTGACCCCAGCATCAAGATTTTCTAATTAAATTGTTGTAGGAAAATAGGTAAAATAATATAATACATATTCCACAGTCAATTATAACTTATATTTCATGATTCACAGAAGAGGTAAAATATTGCCCATGGATATTGTATTAGAAAATCATTACAGTTTCTTTTTTTCTCTACTTTTTTAAAGTTTCACTCTGTTCTTCATTTCTAAAATTTCCATTTTCATCTTTGTAGTTTCCATGGGGCAGAAAGAGAAGACAATGCCAGGGAAATTTTTTCATTTTCTTTCTGACTGCTACTCTTGGCTCTTGGCTCTCTAAAGACCTTAAGGGTACAGAGCCAGAGAATCTGGAATTCAGAATACTGGAGTTGTGTTTCAGTACTGACAATGCACAGACACTATGAAGTTTGTCTCCTGTATCTAGGGCTGTCGTACAAATTATTCCAAACTGAGTAACTTAAAATCACAGGAATTGATTCTCTCTCAGTTCTGTCCTCTAGACGTCCAAAATCAAGGTGCTGGCAAAGCCTTGTTCCTTCTGAAGTCTCCCAAAGATTCCTTTCTACCTCTTCCTGCTTCTCAGTGCCAGTAACCCTGGGCATTCCTCGGTTTGGGGATTTGTCACTCTGAAATCTGTCTCTGGTGCCATACGGCCTTCTCCTGGTGTCTATTTTCTTACAAGGGCACCAGGCATTGAATTAGGGCCTTCCTCCTAACCTAACAATCACTGCAAAGACTCAGTTTCCAAAGAGGTCATGTTTTGAGTTTCAGGGCTGACAAGAGTTTTGGGGGACACTGCTCAACTCAGTACACCCTCCTTTTGCCATTCTCTTTGTCAGAAGTTCAACGATTTCCGGAGCAGTCAGTCCTGGGTGTTGGCAGTTATAAGGCGCTTTGTGTGGAGACAATAGATTGGCCCATTTTTGTTTTATTATTACTGTGTTCTAGTAATTATAAACAATACCGGTAACAACATATCTATACCCCTCAAAATATTGTTCTAAATTTTATCTATATGTGCATTTCCTCTTGAATTTTAATAATATATGTGTAGACTTCAGCTGAGCACATTTTTATTATTAGTCCTTTAATAAATGTTATATTCTACATGAAAGTTAATTTGGAGAACTTTTTTTTGATAGAGCCAGAGAGAGAGAGAGAGAGAGAGGGAGGGAGGGAGGGAGGTAGGTCGGTCTTCTAGCTGCTGGTTCACTCCCCAAATGGCTTCGATGGCTAAAGCTGAGCTGATCTGAAGCCAAGATCCAGGAGCTTCTTCTGAGTCTCCCACCGGGTGCAGGGGCCCAAGCACTGGGGCCATCGTGTACTGGTTTCCTAGGCCATAGCGGAGAGCTGGAATCCGAACCGGCATCCATATGGGATGCTAGTGCTGCAGGCTGGGGCTTTAACCTGCTGTGCCACAGTGCTGGCCCCTGGAGAACTTCTAATTATGTAGTTGTCCCCAGGCCCATGAAAAGTCTGCTTCCTATGGACATTTTGAAAGCAAATTCCTAACAGTTTGGAATTCTGTAAGCTTGCTTTGAACATAGTTGAGCTTGCTGTCCATGTCTTATTATGTAAACTTGCACTTAAAAGTAGATTAAAAAAATAGAACAGTACTTATAAACCATAAGAAATCCAACTTAAATTACTGCAATTCTGTCCTATTATGGGATGCCCTTGGAGTTACCCTTGTTTAAAATATATTAAAAATGAGTTATGAGGTATAATATGTAATATTTTGCTTCCTAAGTATTGCATTCATATGTGAAATATTCTAATTTTACTAATATCTTTAGAATTAAAAAATTTTTTGTTGACAGGCAGAGTTAGACAGAGAGAGAGAGAGACAGAGGGAAAGGTCTTCATTCCATTGGTTCACCCCCCAAATGACCGCCACGGCCGGTGCACTGCGCCAATCCGAAGCCAGGAGTCAGGTCTGGTCTCCCATGCAGGTGCAGGGCCCAAGCACTTGGGCCATCCTCCACTGCCTTCCTGGGCCACAGCAGAGAGCTGGACTGGAAGAGGAGCAACTGGGACAGAATCCAGCGCCCCAATCGGGACTAGAACCTGGTGTGCCGGTGCCGCAGGCAGAGGATTAGCCTAGTGAGCCGCGGTGCTGGCCTAGAATCGAAATTTATTCTTTTTAATTTACTAATTATTTGTTTTAAAACTAAAGAAGGCATCAAAGCAAAACATGTCAGTGCTCTGCCTATCATTGCAACAGACACTAAAAATGCAAAGTGTCT